GCTACTTAACACTGATCTTTAAAGCTCAAGTTAAAAACTATGAAGCTCCAGGGTTTTTAGAGTGTAGGTAAGAACTGTTGGATATATAGTGCATAATAGTATATTTGATTCAAGTTGAGACACTTTTGATCAGTATAGAAAGCGAAGATCAACACACATAGGTGATGATTAAACTGAACATTGAACGTTCTGCGTGATAGTGAGCATCTCAAATTCATGATCAGTGGCTCTATGTGTTCAAATAATTTCTTTGCTGGGTGTTTGATATTATTTTTTATTTACTACATACAACGTTTGTTGTGGTACACCAGGCTCTATATAATGTCAGCAGCTGCCTATTTATGTGCTCCAGATCTAGAGCTTTAAGCCTAACGTTGATATTTTCAATTGTATTTTTTTCGCCCCATGTGAACAAGCATTGAGAGTACCTAAGATCTCCTTAAGTTTTTCGCCTATACAAATACTGAAATACGTTTGTATTTTAGTGCTGATACTGACATTAGGACTGTAGTGACCCAAAACAAAGGACGAGCTTGAAACTTAATCGTAAAGCATTAATCACGCACCTGATGCAAATAACTGGAGAGATGTACATATACGACAGTGTCTTTAATTCAATCATTGACAAAAAATCCAATGACGTGTGGGTTGGCTTAAAAGTTTCACAGCACTGGGGTTAATATTTAGTCGTTGCAGTATTCGGTGGAACAAAGGCGAAAGATGACGAAAAACACCGTCAAACATCAGAGGAAAATATATAATTAACATGACATACAACTTACATCGTACAATTGATGCATCTGAACAAAAAGATACTATATACCGTTTTATAAGGATAATAAAGTTATCGAACTTTTTGTCAATATAAGACCGAGAAAAATCTTTTCTCTGTTTAAAGGAACTATTCTAATAACTCATTTTTTCCAGCTGCGTCTTTGCACGGAGTAAAAATTTGCCCTCAAATGCCCTGGTACGGCCGAGAGTGGGGAGAGTCCGCTCTCCCTCTCGAAATGCTTTCACATGGCCACGCGTATATAGCCTCTGCCAGGGAAGCCTAACTCACTGCCTTCTCTCACCACGAGTGTTGTTTACGAAAATGAGAGGACGAAAAGCGAATGTCCGGCGCTTTAACCGGATTTCAAACCAATGGTGCACATGGTCTCCAGTATCCTGCGGGAACAAATGGCGTTTGAACCAATTGTTGGTCACCGGCTTCCATGGGACTGCATCTCCTTACGATGCTCCACTGCCTTGTGGATCAGACTTTTAGGTCTAAGGCTCGGGGAGTAACCCCCTAAGAAAACCACCTGCTTCGGTTCGGTCACCCGGGCAGTATCACAGCCCTCACGCATATTGAGCGATTTATATGGCGCATATCTATTTGGTGCCTCCTTGTACCAATATCTTTGTGTTAAAATAATTATAAAATAATCGAAAAGTTGTTATTATTATTATTTCAGTAGTTGAGGTCATGAGTCAATTGAAGCTAGACCATCATGAAAAACCTGTAAGCATTGGACGGCCACTTCGTCCTATTGTGGGACTCCTCAGCAGTGCGCATCCACGACTCATGATCTCAGCTATTGAAAATTACTACAATTTACACAAAACCCTTTCTGATTATTATTATAATTATTATTAATAATATTATTAATGGCTTTATTCAATATTATATTTTTGGTAAAATATAGAGTTCTGAGCTCAAAGTATTTCAATAAGCTTCATTTTCTTATTTTTTGATCGATTCTGACGATAAATATCGATTGATCGCCAATATGATGTTAGCAGTTCAGGCATCGACATCTGAATAATATTCATTCTTTTCAATGCATATTTCTAGCTATCACGAAGTCTCTGATTGTAATTTTTTGTAAGTTGTACAGCGAAAGATCGAAAAATTTTCATAAATAGATTCTGAGATTAATAGACGTAATGATGTGTTAAAATAAACAAAAGAAACAGATAACTTGTCGAAATATCTAGATAGCATGAACAGGTAGCCCGGATATTTAAGCAGGCTGACATGACATGTTGAGGTCATGAAACTGAATTCTGTGGAATTAAACTATATCAGAATATCAGAAAGGGTTTTGTGGACATCTTAGTAATTTCAATGGTTGAATTCAGGAGTCATTTGAAGCTAGATCGTTATGGAAAACCTGTAAGCACTAGACGGCCGTTTCGTCCTGGTATGGGACACCTCGGTGACCAGTGGAGTTCAACCTGGTCTGTTGTTAGATGTCAGCTCACAGAAGACAATGGTGACGGTAGCGCAATTTCGTGGATTGGTTGAAGTTAGACATTAACACCGTTGGATGCCGGTCGGCTAAGTGATCTAATGGATAAGCGCTTGCGCACATGACTGATAAGTCCTGAGTTGGAATCTCGTGGAGGAGAGCGGCGTCGTGGATGCACACTGTTGAGGAGTCCCATACTAGGACGAAAGGGTCGTCAAGTGCTTCCAGGTTTTCGATGGTGGTCTAGGTTCAATTGACTCATGATTTCAACTACTGAAGTTTCGAAATATTCAAAACATTTTTGAGTAGTTACTTTATAGAATAATCATCTAAATATGTTACTTATTCGAAAAAGCTGCAAATATTTATACCTTAATCTTTTAATTTAGTTTCTCTTGTGTTCTCATTCAAATTTTTATAATATCATTAAATTGTTCTATCGTATTGAATTGAGCCTTTCATTTCTAGAACAGTTTGAAAAAATATGATTAGAATGTTTAGATCTATCTACTTGTGCCATGATAAGGTAAAGTTCTTATTCAAGATGTTTTTAAAATTTTGAAGTTCTTCTCATACTGATTTTCATAATTTGGTTTTCATTTAAAAATTACAAAGCCTAAATATATCGCTCGATAGGAATTACCAACAGATTTCAATACGTACGCGAGTTCTATTCTATTCGATACTCTCTAACTGAATGTTCCTTCATCCAAGTGTTGATATTTACATGAAGACCCATAACTACGAAGAATATCCAAGTGATTAATTAGAATACATGTATACCAAAAGAGACTGATAGAAACTTCTTTTGAATGTTAACAAATGTGAAACACAAACATTCACAAATAATAAAGAACTGAATACAAAATAGGTTCACCATTAGAAACAAACATAAGAAAGATCTTGTAGATAACCAATGTAGATGATCTATGTCGAAATGATTAGGGGCCTACTCGAGTTAGACGGGAATGGTGTATCCAACCGCTAACTTCGAAAACACACCTCGCGGTCAGTATCTAACGTGGATTACCTATTCGGTGTATCAAAGTACTATGGCTGTTTTGAAGACCGTACAACACAAAGGACGTTATTACGGAAATATATTAGTAAGAATAAGTACAAGCGATAGTGCGATCACCACAGCATGGGCCAGTCCATGGCGTACGATTAACTGATGCGCGTTTATTGTCCTTGACTTTGACAGGGATTGATGATCTAATTGATATTCAGTGACCCAACTGCCGGATGATTTGACTATGGCTCAGTGACATTTCACTGCTCTCACAATCTCTTCAATAAACGTTTAAATAAGTTCTATTATACAGTTCTGAACAATAAACACCAGTCATGTTTCTTCAGTCAAAATTGCATTTACAGAAATGCATATTCTATTCGTTAATTGTTAAATCTACTGGAGCTAGTCAAAAATACATGAAATTTCTGGTTTCATTTATCTACTTTATTTACTTACTTTATATCGAGATTTGTCTAAGATAATGGATACAGGAAACAGAATGCAGGAAACTCTATTGAATTTTCTTATTTTTTTCTTAGATCTCATACAAGAAATAACACAAACTCGACATCTAGATTTATGATTTTCTTCATTGAGGCGGGGGGGGACCCCGTTACAGTGATGAAAAATATTGTCATGTCGATTAGAAATTTGAAAAAAAAACGTATCAAAGCAACCAGATTTATGTCTGAAATTCTTGCTTTTTTATGGCTAAAATGGAAGAACCAGCTTTTAATATGGTTTAAAAAAGACTCATTACAGTTACCAAGACTTTTACATTGACGTTGTGCTTATTATCATCAGTGATGGTTAACTGAAAATCCCTTAGTTTTAGAATATTGAATTGAACTGAATGAATTCTGTAAATCAATAACATTTCATTACCATTTATGTCTATACACATGATTTACACTGATCTGTAGCCCATTTTCGTCACATCATTATTGACCCAAACACATTGGATTATAATTGTGAGGAGATCAATTTTAGTTTTCTTTCTATATACGTCATCTTTTTGTATTGCACCCGATTAATATATCACAATCAACTCCACTTGTATAAACGTCAATGTTGACCAAATCAATTGATTTTGTAGTGTACATACTAAACGAAATGACTACGTGTTTTGGTTTACTGAATTCAACAATGGACTATTGAAATGCAAAAATAAAATAGAGTATCACTTGATTATTGTAACTAAACATTTAACAAACCTCAACAAAACTTACTCTCCATCATACATTCAGTCACACTGTCACATCAACATCAAAGACAACAACAGCAGTGTAACAGAATTGTCACTGCATATATATATATGGTCTAGCTCTTCTCAAGTCTTCATACCTTTATTAAAAATTCCTACAGCTAATCATCACCTAACAATTTGCGACCGTAATGAACCATTCGTACGAAGGACAGAAATTGTATTCGGTTTAGTGAAGATTGTTTGTTTATGTTTGTTTCTTGATTAAATATGAGATTAGTATTTACAAATGATATTATAGCTGTTGAGTTATTTGACGTAAATATACGATTACAAGTCGATTAGTTACAATTTTGATCTAGTTTTTGTTATTTTATATTAGAAAGAAAACAATAAAATATGAACATTTACTTACCATTTTAGCTTGATATAATAATAAAAGGGGTTTTTGTGGATATTATAGTAATTTCAATAGTTGAGATCATGAGTCAATTGAAGCTAGATCACTATGGAAAAACTGGAAACACTGGACGCCTGTTTCGTTTTATTGTGGGACTCCTTCTTGGCAATATGCATCCACGATCCTGCTTCATGAGATTCCAAACCAGGACCTATCGGTCTCATGCGCGAGCGCGATAGACTAATTCTATATAGCAGTTTTCTGCAGTTAAGCTAATAAATAAAGAAATGAATACATGTGAAAGATCATTTATTATATACTGGAAAGTTTGTATAATGAATAGATTTACATATTTATTTCTCATCACGAACTTAGGCATCAGTGCTTGAAGTCACTAACTTCTAACCTGAGCCATGTCAGTAGATGTAGACTACTTGGTTGGATTCCTCCTGACTATTGTAACCAATGGTTGGAGACTCTGGGTGATATGGTTCACAATCGATCACAATGGCGTAGGTGTATACATTGAGAGATTAAAATCGCTTCATGTCTTTTTTTCTACAAACTAATTTTTTTCTGTACTATATCGTGATATGCAATGTTTCTTTTATATATTACCACTATTGAATTAACTATTTCTATTAATCCGATGTTCATCTTGTTATGCTAATGATATATGCCTGGTCCTACGTTGTAGCTGATTGATTGACTGGCGAATTCGGACAAAAATACCTCACTAGATAAATCTAAAATTAATCTTTTTTCCTATATTAAACAAGTGGTAAGAGATGATGATAATGAGAAGTTTTAGAGGGGGAAGTGTTGTAGAATGCTTTCAATGATTTTGATTTCGATGAACCAAATGGTTTAATTGAAAAGTTTTCATTGATCGAAACTGTATAATAATGAAATAGCTGTTGGTTCAATTTTAATTGCAAACTAACACTTCACTTATTACTCAACATTCTTGTGGAACTAACTATTTATATCGATTCATACTGATTTATTGACAACAGAATAAAAAATGTAAAAATATGTAACCATTGAACAATGGCATCAATCATCAAATATCTTTTCATTGTACTATAAGATATGGGTAAAGAATACTACAGGTTAACATCAAATCAAAGCTGAATCTATAAGCAAAGATGGATAGTGGCTAGCAGAGTCCCAAATAAGGACAAAACGTGCGTCTAACTGGATCCCACTGCTAGCTACTGTCTATCTTTGCTTATAAAGCTTATAACTTAAGGCTTGTAACTTAATACTTGACTAGATTTCTGATATACTTTTTTTATGAAACTATATTTTTCACTTCAGTATGGGTTTGTTTTAATTTGGTTGTTGTTTTTAAATAGTGGTGAAACTATAATTTATGGACGACCTTTGAGCGGGCGCTAGAGTGTCCTTGCAAGTGTCCACCTAATAACTAGGACCAAATGAAGGTTATAAACCAATTTAAGGAATTAGAATTGTGATTTACAGTTGATAGTTAAGTTTAGGAATTAGATCTACAGGTTTTCATCACGAACTGACATTAGCTATAGTACCAAACTTCTATTTACCCTAATGGATAAGTGAATTTCGCGCCAAAATCCAAGACTTGTTATTCTAAATCTGATTGGTTTGTCCATAAACTATAGTCTTGCCAAGCATCTGGTTATCCAATCATACGATCTAGGTTTTGTGCTACTAAACACACGTCAGCAAAGTGTACCTGTAATCTTGAGGGGACTGATGCTCCCTGATGGATTCGATCTCGTATCATCTAACTTCACAGTCAGAGACGTTACCACTGAGCTCTTCGGGCCGCTATCCAATTATATAGAACTTAATAAATCAATTAAGTAAATAGGACTCTTTACATTGTATTATGTTTAGTTAAAGAAAACTCCAGTTTATAAACGAAATTTTTATAGGTGAGTATTTTAAGTCAAAACTTATGTGAGCTAATGAGAGAATACTCTCAAACGAAATATTTTATCTCACTTCATCTATCTCACTGAAGATTTGATAGAGTATTTAATGACTGAAATTTTGTTGGAACCATTGAGAAGCTTCTAAATTGCTATAGTAAATGTTTAATATAGACTATATTAACACTCAATCTTGACAAATAGTTGCTTTAGATATTCATAAAGAAGATTCATTTGCATGAGGAAGAGTCGTTTCACAAGTTACTCATTTATACACTTCATGGTAGCAAAGTTCCTAGTCTACGATCTGATATTTAAACTTATCACAAACTATAAAACTTACTTACTTATCCCTGTCTGGTGCCGCTGCTTTGCCGCTCTTGATTTGTCTGATGGCCATACTGATCTCTTCAGTTGTTGGTAGGCCGATATCGATTGGAATGTCCGTAGGTGCCGATTCGATGTTAGGTGGGTCCGGTGGAGCTGGTCGATTCCAAAGTTCCTTGAATTGCTCTACCCACCTGTTTCGCTGTTCTTTAATGTTGGTGATTACTTTGCCTCCCTTGCTTTTCACTGATCGTTCTATGTTAAGGTAATTTCCAGCGAACTTCTTTGTTGTATCATACAGTCGTCTCATGTTTCCTTCTATTAAACGGTTAATAATAAAAATAATATATTCGAAATATCCAAATGCCGTAGAAAAATTAGCGTAATCCAAGTTAATTTAGTACAAAGGAACAAAGAAAAAATATTTAATGCGATCGATCAAAAAAAAGTCTGACCAAAATTAATTTCATGTCATTCCGGTCAAGGTGATTTATGGGAGACGAAATTCATTTGCCCCACGGCAATTTTTTTTAAAAAACCCCCACCCACCCTTTTTAAAAATGTTTTTTCAACCCAAAATTGCAATATTTTTCATCCCGTTTCGTCCAATGAAATGGCTAGTTTTGAAGTTCGTTTTTAATTTGTTAGTTATGTTTTGTCGGATTGCTATAAAACATCAGTACTTGTCGACGAAGTACATTTTAATCATCATTATGGAGGACAGTAACGTGCCTAGTACAAGCGCTGTTGTTTCTCACGTAACAGAAATAGAGGAAGTCTTTTTGACAACGTTGTTTCTCGTTGCGTTTCCATCGATTGAAGCGTTGAAGTCCGCTATCACAAATTATGAAAGATCAACTTACTGTCATTATGTAGTTCGAGATTCGCATTTGTGCAGAAATGAAAACTCTTACATTAAATTTGTGTGCTGGAGACATGGCCGTATAACATCTGGCGGTTCGTCACAGCGGATTAGACGGAGGAGGTAATTTTATAAATGTTATTAACATTTTTTGTCATGAAGGGCTTCCATGAACACTGAATGTCCGGCCTTCATGTATTGTAAGATTATCGACGGCTACTGGACTGTTGTACGTGGGAATGTGCATCACAATCACGAGTGCAATTCCCTAAGGTACCAAGGAAATTCATGGGTGCGCAGGTTAACAGAGGCCCAGTTTGAAAATGTGCGACCGCTGCTAATATCTGGTATTGCTTCATTCCACATTAAGAATTATGCTTACCATTCTTATGGGAAACTACTGACTGATCAAGATATCTATAATATGCGGTAAAAAGTGTTCTCACAGGCGAACATTCCTGGTAAGCCATTTGCCAATTTATAATGTAAACGATAGGTGATTACGGGAAATTGAAAGCGCACATAACATCTTTGGGTGGGCGATGCGAATACGAATTAGACGATGAGAACTGTCTATCGTACTTTTTCTTCAGCACTGGTGATCAAAAGATTTTTGCAGACCGTTTCGGTGATGTTATTGGTTTGGACGGAACATACAAGACGAATAACGAGAATATCTATTTATATCAGGCCGTAGCCCTGGATATGAATTTGAAGGCGATACCCGTTTGTATTGCATTTATAAGTCGCGAAACATCGACTTTGATTTCTCGATTCCTGTCGTTCTTCCAACGGTTAACCAACAGTCGACAGGTGGTAGGCATTGTGACAGACGTATTTACATATTAGTGTGTGTGTGTGTGTGTAAATGTATGTTAGGAATATCATTTATCGCATGGTTATTCTAGTATTTTTTAAAATAAAGATTTTTATAGTTGAATTTACAAGTCAATATAAGCTAGATTACCACTGAAAACCTGGAAACACTGGACGGCCTTTTCGTTCTAGTATGGAACTGCTTAACAGTACGAATCCACAATCCCGCACACAAGACCCGAACCCAGGACCCTCGGTTTCGCGCGAGAATGAAAAGTATTATGATACTAAAGCCTTTGAATATACCTCTACAGGACCATATCAAAAGACTGATCCAAAAAATCCTCAGACTGTTAAAAATGAAATCAAATTAGAGTCAAGTCAACTTTAAAAGAACTAAAGCCAGTCATTACCGTCTCATTATGGTTTACTTTACACCTCAAATCATGCACTACATCACGCTTTTCTATGGCTTACCTAAATTCGACATGTGGTGGGTTCGGAAAATCTTGAGTAGTCAACTGTTGATAGATACCTGTACCTTTTTAAGGATGACAGCTCACTCAAATATAAACGTGATGAGATATTATCATCAGCGTTGGTTAACCGACTACCAAATTAACAAGGTTTAAATTATCAGAAGAGGGATTTTGAGGTTGAAGTTAGACATTAACACCGTTGGATACCGACAGGTTCACTGGTCTAGAGGTCAAGCGTTCAGGCGCGAGATCGATAGGTCCTGGGTTCGAATCCCACGGGCGGGATCTTGGATACGCACCGCTGAGTAGTTCCATATTAAGATGAAACGGCCATCCAGTGCTTCCAGGTTTTTCATGGTGGTCTAGCCTCAGTTGACTAGTGAATTCAATCGTTGAGGTGTAAATTGTTTGACAAACGAAGTTTAGATCCTCTTAGGTAATTATGAATCGAATGTTTAATGGATGCCTAAAAATAACACCGAACAACTTCAACTATTTACTAGATATGTTTTGAGAATGTTAAATAATCTTCGCTCCTTCTGAATTAAAAAAAACATCGTTGAATTATACCGTTACTATTGTTGACACTGGCTTCATATATTCTCACCAATAGAACTCATGAAATCACTAATCCATTCTATATTTGTTTATTGAAGCTGATGACCATAGCAAACACAAGGTCAGAAATAATTTGAAAGTACTGGGGAATCATTCCAGTTATCAAACAGGAAGACCGCTTTAATGACATGTGTATCCGATTGTAACAATATAAACAACCATCTGAAAAACATTTACAGAGCTAGAATCTTTCAAAAACATGTTAATTTTGATTAGTGAGTCTAAAAATTGACTTTGTGTAGCACAATACCACAATCTGAATTAATTTAGTCAAGTTAAACCAATAAATATAACAGTCAGGATGAAGATGAATGTGATAGGAAGAGATAAACTAAACATTAGTTTTTTTTTCTATTGCATCTAACGTGAAACCAAGCATTAATAAAATTCATTACAGTCGTACCTAATTTCAGAACAAAATATATTGTACATCACTGCTCAACTAATTAATCAAATTTCAATAGTTGAGATCATGAGTCAATCGAAGCAAGACCACCATGGAAAACATGGAAGCACTTGACGTCTGTTTCGTCCTATGGTGGGACTACACCTTGGCAGTGCGCATCCACAATCCCACCACTTCGCGAGATTCCAACACAGGACATATCGGTCACGCGCGCAAGCACTTAAACACTAGACCACTGAGCCAACCGGAATCCAGTGGTGTTAATTTCTAACTCCAATTAATCCACGAAATTGAGTGACACATCCATCATTGTCTTCAGTGATTCACTATCTCACAACAGACCCGGTTGAACTCCACTGGTCGCTGCTTCTCACAAGAAACCTGGAAATATTAATCAAAGTTAATTATACATATAAATCAGGTGAACTAATCAAAGTTCAGATTGCTATGACACTTTCTGGTCAGTACATGACCAAGCAAAAACAAATGCATAGATTTTCAATTCATTTTCAAAAGCTGACTAATTATCTTATCTACAATGATGTCACGCTCATATTTCTCGAGAAATTGACCATTTTGAAGCTAACATATTATATGAATTGTAAATCGATAAATTTCACCGATTGATTTTGGTGTGATTATGTAATTATGATTGATCTGGGCCACAGAATGTTTCGAATTGTTCAGATTTCTTCATAACTGTCAATTAGTGTGGTATGGAAATGTGTTGTAAATGATTAGTGAATAATCATACTTTGATTACTTTCAGATTATCTCAATACTGTAGAGCACCTGTAAACCTACTGTGAAATGAATCGTGAACTCTTTATTGAAATATATTTTCAACTATGAATTTGTACACAACTGTTTTTTGGTCTATGTAACAGCTAAGAGATTCTTTTGACTGATATTAGTATCGAACATTTTATAAAAATTACCTTTGCGTCCCAATAATTAAGCTCCACGTGTTTGTAATGTAATTGTTATAACTTGTGCCCTGTGTCCTATTAATGTATAACGTAATGAAATCACCAATTAGAGAACAGTGATTTGTCGACCGGACCAATGACACATAAAATCAAGCACGAGCAGTCTAGAGTCCTTATCGGTCCTGCTTCCCGCCTAGCGCTCCCTGTTAAGTCCAGAACATCAATCTCAGCCTTCGTGATATAAATCATATCTTCCAAATATACTGGGTTTACATACCAACCAGAGAGACCACATCGTACCATAAAATAGTAAACAACATTTGTACAAGATTTAGCCAAAAGTGACTGTGAATGTGGGAGATAGTAATTGATAGACTGGGCATAACTCAAGAATGGTAAATCACATAATGATAATTCATAGGTCAAAATAAAGCTTATGATAAGAGGAATACGTGTATGAATAGTTTAATTACTTGACAGATACAATAAAGAATATGAGTATAGTATTAGTCCAGAAATAGATTTTAACAGTTGCCATTCATTATTCTCATTGGGATATAACAGTAATAAAACATGCAGTTCAGTATCTAGTTTGAATAGTAATTATCTGGATTTTATAAGACGAAATGAAAACTGTAGAGTAGAATTATGATCACTAGTCCTATACAAATTAGAAGTAGTGAATAGAATGTCAAACAAATCGCTACATGTGTGATCATTCTACTGAACGATGATATTTGTATTTCAAGTAACTAATTTACCGATAGAACAGTATTTATTATTCTATCAGCTTGATTAACATCCTTTTCGATACTTCTCGATGCTTTGTTAGATGATCCAGAAAAATCTTTGAGGTGAATAGTATTCAGTTGGCACTAAGGAATAAACTGATTAACAGTATTTACCATTAAACAATTACTTGCTGTACACATCGTTACTGCTTGGAATCCTCGTATCATGTACTTAATTTTTTTAGAGTTGTAATGTTTTCACAGTTATATGGATGACATGTACATGAACAGTTATCTATTACGATTTTATTCCTGATATTTCTTCATTACAAAGTTATACATTATGTGCACTTATCTTAATTTGTTGGTCTCTCACATTGAGTCATCTTTCAAAGTCTTCTTATCTAATTTATTCACCATAGATTAGTAGATTCTTTAGATCTTCACTTGATAGCTGCGTGAACATCAGAGTAAACCAGGATATAGCAAATTTCAAAATAAGTCAAGAGTATGAACAAAT